GTTGAAAAACAGAACTGGACCTCTGTCCAGCGCTTCCTATTTATAAGTGTTCCTGTAAATGAGATTATTTTATGGTAAAAATAATTCCTTAGCTCCTAACGAGTTCAGTGTTCTATGATAAATCAAATCAACTAAATAATTTTATTGAGATCGTGAAACGATTTAATTTAGACGACTATTGAGAACTTGGAGTCACCGCACGACCTCTTCGTCCTAATATGGGACTTCTCAGTCGTTCACATCCATGATATTATGATGGTGGATCGAACTCAGGACCTCCGATGTCGAGTACAAACGCCTAATTTCCGAATAACTGATCCGAAACTCGATGATATACAAACATAACATCAAGCCTCTATTACCTTAGGTGAGTGCCTTCCTCAAATCCAACACAAATGAACCGTACTGCTTACTGGTTTACATCATCCAAAACTGAAAACAGAGTATTATTTGACGAACCTTAGATTTTAACATCACAGAAAGTTTTTTACTTATTTAAGTTAACAAAAACAATTTTAGAAGAAAATATCTGTGATACACATATGTCATTAATCATTATGAATTTATTTATATTATTATGCATTTACAGTGTGAGAACAATGTTCATACTACTTACATACACTACACCACAACATCCTGGTACTGCTAACACTATTAACACTTGCGTTAATTTAATTCTATATATTCTATGCACAAACAAAAGCACATACATATAAGTATATACTTACATACATCCCGCATTATATATATATATATATATATATATATATATATATATATATATATTAACACAGTACATTGTGAGACAAGTTGAGGCAGATCGTGCCATTTTACTAATATTAAATATTAATAATGGCAGTATTAGTAGTATATACACGCCTACTATTCATTGATCCGGATGCCTACACAGCTAATAAACGTGTCAGATGACATTAGTTATTTAAAGTTGATGTTAATGTAGATGTATATGAAGGGATGGTAACACTTGAATTAGTCTGTATACTGCTCATGTATATTAAACAAGATTATTCTTAAAATCAACTAGTATGTGATCGGTATTAATTTTTAAGAATTGCGATCACATATTGATCGGTTGCTGGTGATGGTTATGGTTGATAGGAATAAATAAATATTTATGTGTTGTATTCATTTCAATTTGGGTACAAGTAAAAATTAGAGAGCATTAGACAGTTGTTTCGTCTTAATGAGGGACACTTCAGCTATAAACGTTGTGCAGTGTTTTTAATGATCAGTCGTAAACCGCAAGACGTGAAGGATCTGGATGCGATCTCTGGTAGGGTTTTGAAAGAGCACTATTTAGGAGTTCCTTATTAAAACTAAACAAGTGTCCAATTCGTCCTGGTTTTCATTGATACTTTAAATGAAATTAACTTGAGTGGAATACAACTTACGGTTTAAACAGTTCTCCATAAGACTATTTCCTGATATCTAAAAACAAATATTTTCAGTAAATATGAGCTGATTTATTAGAAATGTTCTCATTGTTCAATATATGTGGCATTTTCGATCATTTCCTAGTTAATTTAACATATAAGTGCTGTTTATTGAAGCGTTGTTTTCAATAACGATTTCATTTCAAAAGTCTAGAGTTACTGTCAGCCGTATATAATGAACGTGTTGATGTAATGTAGCTCAATATCCCGGATAAGAACACAATACAATCAATACATTTATACGGAATACATAAAGTGACTAGCTCGTATTTTGTTTGTTTTATCGGCTAAGCTATACGTCGGAATCATAAAATAAACCAAAGTCAGAATATAAGTAATTAAGTGATTACTTCAAAGTTTTTGAATCAGTTCAAAATTTGCTGCAAGTTGATTACCTAAAATGAAACACACTTTAAATTTCTGTTTTTGAAGACTTTAAGTTATACAATTTAAACTAATTTTGGATTAGTGTAGTTCCATTCGTTCATCATCATCATCGGGTGAATATATATCACGTCTATTTTTTCTCCGTAGCTATGTAAACATAAACTATCGTATCTTTTTCTTTTGATTTAGTCACTATATTAAGCCTTTTAATTAAAAATAAATGTTGAATATTTTTTTATTATTTCACGACCAAGCGCATATATTTATACTTTACATTCTAAATGTCCGATTGAACTATATGACGCATACAAAAGTATCTTGTGAGCTGAAAAAGATGAATAGGGTGGTTTGTAAATATGTAATATGTATTTTAATTTGGTTTGCTATAGTGTTTACATTTTTAATTATTTTGCACTGACTTCTTAAGCATTACATAAAAGTTAACTATTATTAATAAAGAAGGATAGGAAACAGGATTTTGTAGAAGACTCACTGCTTCTTTAGTTTCATTCCAAATTATTGGGTTTCGATGATTAGGTTTGTTACTCAAGGCAAGTCTTTCGTCGTCTGACATATCTGTTACGAGCTACACTGAAAATGTATGCCGCGGCATACATACATACAGCATATATATATATATATATATATATATATATATATATATATATATATATATATATATATATATATATATATATATATATATATATATATATATATATATAGTTGCTAACAAGTTGTGAATGTTAAAAAAATAGGCGTGATATATATCCGACCATCATCACGAAAGACTAAAGAAGTTTGCGACGTTTTCCGTATTTTAATTTTTTTTATTTTCTACATTTAAATTCTGAGAAAACAAACTGCGATGAAACCAATCAGTCAATAACCGGTTTGTGACTTCAATGAAATTCAAAAATCTTCGGAACATCGAACCGACTGTTGTAATGTGCTCACTCTTGTGCAACTACGATCGGAAATTTCTTCAGTTTTAGTGAAAAGCTATGATTAGTGCAATTTAATCGTGTTGATTATGAGCAAGTTACCCACCGGCCACAATAAAAAATTATCGAGCGAAACAACACAAGGGTTTTACTTAGACTTGTACCCCATTGGGTGTCGACTCTATAGTCCAGAAGTTAAGCGATCGCTCGCAAGGCCGAAGATCCTGCGTTCGGTTGGTGGTTGTAGGATCGTAAATGAGCACTCTTGAGGAGTCTCAAATTAGGACCTAGAATGGTCTTGAAAGAATTCTAAAATCTTCACAAATATATACAAATAATAATCAATACTTACATGATTTCACATGTTATAACTTGATGAAGTATACTAGACGTTGTCATTTCTTGTTTCCCAATTTTAATTTTTTTCATGTGAAGAAACTGTTTTGTTTTTCGGCTTTCTTCAAGTATACTCATACTAAAATGAAATCAGAATACCTTAATCTGAATATTTTATGATAGAGCTTTGAAATTTTTTTTATTTCTTCAGTTCGTTCGTATATTGTAATGCATAGATGTCGATAAGTTTCTATTTAATTGATAGGTTTCTAATTGTTTGGACAGCGTTTGTATTAAATTTAGTAAAATAAGAAAATGTGCATACACGCACTGAATACTGACTTGATAGAAGAATACACTTACATTTAGTAAAAAAACTGAATCGGGAACAGTTAACAGGACACAAAAATGAATTCAAAAAAACGATTTGACATTGAGAAGTGTAAAGGAAAAAATTAGAGATCTCAAATATTGCTAAGGTTCTCTTGATGAAAGTACTTTGTGGGAGTAGTTTTATGTTTGTGAAAATTTGTTTAAGATGAATCTGGGTGAAGGCAGTGGGTCAGCTATATGATTACTATATATATATATATCCTACATTTTAATCCCTGATTATTACATTAATAATTTTCATAATTAGTATTTAGTTTCAGAAGGGGTTTTGTGGAGATTTTAGTAATTTCAATAGTTAAGATCATGAGTCAGTTGAAGCTAAATCAACATTGGAAACCTGGAAACAGTGGATGGCCGTTTCGTCTTATTATGGGACTCCTCAACAGTGCGCATCGAGACCCCGCTTCGCTGGATTCGAACCCAGGACCTATCAGTCGCGCGCGAGCGCTTAACCATCAGATCAGTTGAAGTTAAACATTAACACCATTGGATGACGGCTTGGTGATCTAGTGGCTACGCGCTCGCGAACAGGACCGATAGGTTTTGGGCTCGAATCTCTCGTAGCAAGATAGTGAATGCACATTGGTGAGGAGTCCCACAATAGGACGAAATGTCCATCCACTGTTTCCAAGTTTTCAGTGGTAGTCTAGCTTCAATTGACTCATGATCTCAACTATTGAAATAATATTTTGTTGTTATCGTCATTTTTATTTTTCTTCGTTATATCTGTCAAATGGACAATTATATTTATATTTTTGATTAGAAAATTATTTTCTTTAACTCACTTTAGATTATTACGTTACATTTTTGTGTTACTATAAATTTCCGAACACTTATAATATGATCTCTTTCTATTCTCCTATAAACTCTCATACTTATTACATCACTACAATATACAATTACACAGCTTTAATAAATGATAATTACAAACAGAAAGTTTTTTTATTAAACTATCGTTTCACTTTTCTTTTTCAACTGATACAATAGATTTTTTCTTATCATATTCTGTATGTTGACGCCCAAATCATTTCATTTCTTTTTATACTTTAATTAATCCCTTAGAAACACACATTCGATGGTTTATTTAATTGAAATAATCCAGTCAGAAACTATATTTATTAACCTTAAAACGTTTCATATTATCTCAGAGTATTTCACTTGTGATTTGTGCTTATGCATATATGTGTACAAACGAAATAACAATGGGACTTTTAATTACTATTATTATTATTATTATTATTATTATTCATATCTAATTACATAATACTAAGGTAATACCATGAGATAATCCCATTGTTATTGGTGTATACAAAATCTTCAGTAAGGAATGATTAGTTTAATCCTAACCTAGGTGTATACATTACTTTGTTAAAGTATAATCTATCTATGAACATGTATTGTTTTACATATATATTTATTTGACGAGTTTTAGTTTTTGTATAACTCAAACAACATTATTGTTTTGTTTTTTCTTTCATTTATTTAGGTATATAAATAACTAATTACTGATTCAAGAAATGAGTATAAATACTATGTATATTCATTCTTGGTTTGGAATTGAAAAGAATAACACTATAATTACTTGTTTAACAGTATTCATCAGTAAACAAGATTTATATTCTCATTAGTAAAATCACTTTTTGAAAAACAATCTACTCAAATCTAAATATACATTTATCCATACAATAATAATGGAACTGGAAATAAGAAAACCAGTTAAAAAGTGAGTACTTTTGTTGAATTGATAAAAAAAATATATGTGTATATTATAGTTGATCATATAATAATTGTTCATTTCTATGATTTTGTTTAACATAGTTTATTCACTGATGATGAATTAGTGAAAATTCATCAGTTGAGATGGCTGGGACATGTGCTACGTATGCCCAACCATGGACTGCTCCGATGTGTGGTGTTTTATGGTATAGGAGTAGGTTGGAAGAAAGCTAGGGATGGCCAGACCGAAACATGGCACAAGTCCATGAAGTCATTGACATGTGGACTATGTGAGCCATGTTGGCTGGTGTAGACTATCTGGTTGGGATCCGTGAGGCGATAGCAACCGATGGTTAGAGACCTTGAATGACATGGTTCAAAATTCGTTTGCAATGGCGCAGATGCATCCACTCTTTGTGTTCTCCCGAATTCTAATCTTCTGAATTGTTCATGTTCATTTTTTTCTCTTTCCAAATTTATTTCACTGAATTATACTCTTTAAATAACATCTCCAAACCCTAATGTTTTCGATTACTGCTTATACTCTTACTACCTCTACCACTATGGGATTTGAAATGACAACTGCATCTCACTGCTAATGTGGTATGACGACTCGAACTGATGTATATACATACGATGTTCTAATTTGTTACTGACTGACCGACTGAATGAATTTCTTATGCTTCTTCATGTTTCTGTTTAATACTCTTTTGTACCTGGGTAAATAAATTATCAGTTTGTATGCTGATGATATTCAGTGCTCGTTCAATTATTTTGACTAATAATCGATCATGGTTAAAAGTGTTTACATGTGCTCTATAAAAAGCGATTTTATTCACAAAGTTCTTGTTTTTATAGTTTTACAGTATTTAATCGGAATAGTAATGAGTACTTTATGAGAATTATTCTTGACTTACATGTTTATAGTGTAAATAGAATATGAGTGATTGCATAACAAAATCATGAGATAATTTTTATATTACAAATATATGGATGATATGTTCGTTTTGTGCAACAAGTACACTTACTTAGACTTATATTTTGAATTGTTTATTTATAGTGACTTAGACATTTAATTTATTTGTGAAATTCCATTCAAGAATCTTCTTTCATTTCCATATTATATTTTTTATAGAGAATAATTGTTTATAAGAAGAGATGGATGGTAACTAGTCGTGGAATCCGAAATGCGCATTTCATTCTATTTGTGACTCGTTAGCTGAATATGCTTGCATCCCGAAGTTAATGTTCACTTCATGACTCTAGATGCCTATTGGATTTCACTCCTAGCTACCATCCATTTATACTTATAATGCTCGTGACTTAACGTATTATAGAGGCAATCCCTTCAAGATACACATATGTCATTAAGAGACTGATCAATTTCAATCTTAAACATCAATGAAAAGATTCAAATAACCAATACAAAGAATGAATCATTATTTGTTTAATGACAATTATTATAGAATAAATTAATGGATTTTATAATAGATCTTAAAATTCTATAATAAATATTCAAACATTTATTAAACTTATTATTTCATAGTTTATAAAAATAATTATAAATAAACATCATCCGATTTAGATTTTCATCTTAATTAGTTCATTATTCAATTATATGTAAGCTACTACTCATTAATAAACCTACAATGACATTTATCAAGTATTTAATGTAAATTCATAATTATTCATCATTTTGAAATGTATATGAGAATATCTAGTATAAAATAGATTAATTTGAATGAAATAATACAATATATGACTAGGGATATAAAAGGTAATAATCAAATTAGATAATCAACTACTATACACTATTTTAATATGAAATATTGAACTTTGAGACATTCTGAAGCATGAATTCGTAAATATTTAAATTATCTATATATTATTATTATTATTATTATTATTATTATTATTATTATTATCATAATCGAGGAACAGACTGGTTGATTCAATGCGTAAAATCTATCGTTTACTAAATAGAATGAAGTAGTATCTTCATTCTTGAAATATGAAATTCTTAACATTTGAATTTTCCAAAATTACCATATCTATTTAAAAATTTAACCAACTACTCAGTAGTAGTATTAGTGATAGCACTTAGTACCAGACAGAAAAATAAATTGGTCACTGGTGAACCCATGAAAATGTGTGCAATTATTTGGTTGTATTAGTTATTTATTACTTTTTAGCAATTAATAGGTTAACCTTTTTTATGAAATACTTTTTGGAAAATATCTATTTATCAATATATGCTCATTAGTGACTGGCTTTAAGAGATATATTCTGGAGTTCCAGTGAGAAACAGTGATTGGTGGAGTTCAATCAGTCTGTTGTGAGATAATAATTCATAGATGACAATGGTGGATGTGTCATTCAATTTCATGGATTAGTTGAAGTTAGACATTAACACCGTTGAATGCCGGCTCAGTGATCTAGTGGCTAAGCGCTCGCGCGCAAGACTTATAGGTCCTGGGTTCAAATCTCGCGAGGCGGGATCACGGATACGGATTGTTGAGAATTCCCATAACAGGTTTTCCATGGTGATCTAGCTTCAATTGACTCATGATTTCAACCAATGAAATGACTAAAATCTCCACAAAAACCCCTTCTAATATTTATAAAGCATTAGTTGTTTACTTAATCAGTCAATAATATAAACTACTTTAATAGATTCACTTAGTTTCTAACATTATTCAATTAAATAATAAGAAAGTTTTTTAAAAAAATTACCGAACAGTTCATTTATCAATGTTCACATTATCTATTTTTGTTGTAGGTTGTTTTTATTTGATTGATATTAAATCTGTCAAAATGAACTAATAAAGAAAAAAAACATATTTCATGTGTAATTATACTCGAAAATAGTTAATCCCAGTATATATGTATGTATGTGTTGATGTGCAATCTATTTTATTTAAACGAATACATATAAGGTAGTTTATTTTTATTTTAATCAATCGGCTACCACTACTACTGCTGATGATGATACGATTACTATTGCTACTACTATTATTATTATTAATACCACTTACTACTGCTACTACTGTTGCTACGATTACTACTAATACTACTACCACTACTACTACTACTATTATTATTAATACTACTACTATTTATTAATACTACTACTACAACACAAAAACTGAATAATTGAGTTGATTCATCAATTATATTTTAAATTAAAGGCAACCAGAACTACCTTTCAGTTGCTATGTTTTTTTTTTGAACAACAACAAAAACAACGAAAATAATTCAATGATATTTATCATTAAAAAATAAATGTGCATTCAACTCATTTGCATACATTGATTTGTAATTCAAAGTTAATATTAGAAATATGTAGATTGTATTATTTGTAAAAGATTTAAATAGATTCAATTAATAATGGCATTATTTATATCTGTTTTAAGTTGAGTTTATTGTGCAGTCAGTCAGTCACAACGTAGAACTTCTTACGTACGTACATCAGTTCGAGTTGCCACACCACATTAGCACAGAGATGCAGTTGTCATTTCAAATCCCATAGTGGTAGAGGTAGTAAGGGTATAAGCAGTAATCGGAAACATTAGGGTTTGAAGATGTTATTCAAGGAGTATAATTCAGTGAAATAAATTTGGAAAGAGAAAAAAGAAGTGGACATGGAGAATTCAGAAGATTAGAATTTGGGAGAACACAAAGAGTCGATGCATCTGCACCACTGCAAACGATTTTAAGCTATATCACTCAAAGTCTCTAACCATTGGTTGCTATCATCTCGCGGTCCCCAACCAGATAGTCTAGACCAGCCGACATGGCTCACACAGTCCACTTGTCAGTGACTTCATGGATTTGTGCCATGTTTCGGTCTGGCCATCCCTAGCTTTCTTCCAACCTACTTCTATACCACTGAGTACAATTGATTTCGGTCAGTTATGTAATTCTACAGTTTGTTATTATACAATAATTTATATGAGATGTTACTTGGTATATTGTTAGCTTTTACTTCTAGTATGGTTGAATTCACATATGGTTGGTGATTTTGAGTACAAGTTAAAAACAAGGAACATTATAAATAGATACTTCCATTTCATTTAGATCATTTTAATAGTGTTCAGTTATTATTCTAACACAGATATATTAGATCATAAAATGATCAAGCAGTCACTAGACAGTAATTTACATCTTCAACGGAAATTTATTTACAATATAACATGATAACGAATTCATGTAAACAATGGATACATAATTGTTTAAATTCCAAATTGATTTTAATAACACTTCAAGAAATACATTTCGAATTTAACCATTAATGAAGTACCAAGTATAATTATGATGAACATCCATTGACATTTGGTTTTTCAAAAATTTTGTTTGGAATTTGAGTAATTAGTTGTTGCTATATGATGAACAGATATAAATCAAGAGGGTAAGGTTGTCTTTTGTTTGTAAAACATCCACTTACTGATTAATGTATCCGATGTTTACTCACTAAGTCAAAAGATAAAACCCTGTTTTCACTAACCTTTGTTTAATCAACCTGATAGTGTCAATTGCCTTCATAAAAGAGTGTGACTAGATATCAAGTCTACTAAAAAAACGGTACTTTCTTTTGAAACAGTCACCATAAAGATTGAATATTTTGTATTCTACTTAATCTTTGAAAAGTTACATAGTTATCAAGTAGTTTTTGGCAGCTTATGTTTATCATTAATCATAGAAATAATAATTTTATAGTAGAATTCATGAGTCCATTGAATCTAGACCATTATGGAAAACCTGAAAACACTAGACGACCGTTTTGTTCTAGTATAGGACTCCTCTAGCTTCAATTGACGCATGAAATTACCAAAATCTTCACAAAACCCCTTTTGATAATACAAATAATAATTAATTTTTGTTGAATAGTCGGTAAGATAATGTTTTCCGTCAACTATATTTCGAATATGATTGAAATATTTCTATAGTAACAATAATTGTGATAATTTAAAATCGATAATTTAACATTTATATTGATAAAATAAGTGA